ACGTGCAAGCGTCAAACGAAAACCACAGGGACGTAGGAGGACAATGTAAGAGGTGGATCGAACTCACACTATAGATGAAGCCCGGTGTATGCGGTGTATGCGGCGCACATTTACGCCCACGGTTCGGATGAGGAGAGAACGGAGACGGCTGGTGCCGTGTAGCAGCAGCTTGCGCTATCATGGTTTCGAGGATGAACGAGAGGAATAGGAACGATCGAGATTTTGAAAGATATTCAGGCAAGGAGCGAGAGCTAAAGGAGGGGCTTAGGGCAGAGCCTAATAGCAGGCTGACTCTCTGTGCTTGAACAAGTTGTCGATCCTTTGCGAAGGTATAGGACGAGAAGAATGAGTGATGCGAAGTAAAGATGGAAGTAGTAGATACACCTGGGCACCTCGAAAGTTGCCTAAAACGGACTAGTAGCACCGTCTATAACCAGGCCAAAGCTTGGTTGAAGCTTCGGCATCATAGCGAAGCACAACGGCGGCACTTGAGGCGAAGCAGGCACGACCAGGCCCATGAGGCCGGTTCCTAATTTGGTAAAGCGCATCGCTAGTATAAGGTTCACCTAGTGTGCAGAGTTTCCGTGGTTCGGGGGCGATGGAAGTATGAATGTATCCATGCCATATTTCCATCAATGGCCCTGGACATTGTGTATAGGAGGGAAGATATGATCAGACAGTGAAGGCAATCAATTTCTTTGATATGAAGTACTGTGCAAATCACGGTCTTTCTGGGTACCTAGATCCAAGTCCTCCAGGAAGGTACGACCGAGGAGTTGCTCTGGTAGGTAATCCTGCTGAACCTTGCCGTCGACATAGTTTGGGTTGTACTTATACTCTGCACCATAGCCCAGCTCCTTCATGAGCTTCGTTGGCGCATTCCTCAAATGAACAGGAATGGGCAAGCCCGCAATTCCTGGCTCGTTCAAGGCGGCAGAGACGTTATTCAAGCCACGGTACGCGCGAGTACTCTTTTTTGACAGCGCCATCGCCACGGTAGCATGTGCCAGATTGATTCGTGCTTCTGGGAGTCCAATCTTCTCAACGGCTGAATGTGTCGATATAGCAAGTGACAGCATGGTGTTGTCGGCTAGGCCAATGTCTTCGGAAGCGACAACGATCAGCCGTCGAGAGATATACAGGGGGTCTTCGCCCGACTGAATCATGCGAGCAAGGTAGTAGAGCGCCGCATCTGGGTCACTTCCTCGAATGGACTTATGAAAGGCAGAGATCGTGTCATAATGCTGATCTCCAGCACGGTCATACACAAGCGTCTTGGTCAGAGATCGCTTTAGATCCTCTTTGTCCATTCCAGGTCTCTTTGACAGATCCATAGCTAGCTCCAACAGATTCAGCGAAGTGCGAGCATCTCCATCAGCGAACTTGGCGAGATATTGAACCAGCTCTTCGTCCACCAGTTCGGAGGGCGAATAACTTGGGCCTTCAACCCGGAGAGCTCGATGAAGGATCGAAGTGATATCCTCATCGGTGAGCTTCGCAAGAGTAAATGTCCGGCAACGTGAAAGCAGTGCATTTTGAACCTTGAAAGACGGATTCTCGGTTGTGGCACCGATGAGTGTGATCTGGCCGTTCTCCACCGGGCCCAAGAAAACATCCTGTTGTGACTTGGAGAATCGGTGGATCTCGTCACAGAAGATAATTGTTTTTCTCCCAGTGAGCCCCAACTCACTACGGGCTTCGGCAAATATCTTCTTGCACTCTGCCACGCCGCTGCTAGTGCTGTTGATTTCCACGAATCTGCTGCCCACCAGCGACGAAATGACTCGAGCGATTGTCGTTTTACCTGTCCCCGCGCTACCCCACAGTATCATGCTTGGTACTCTGTCTTGTTCGATGAGTCCGCGCAGGATGCCGTTCGGTCCGACAAGCTCTTGGCCGCATACCTCCTCCAGGGTTTTAGGTCGCATACGCTCCGCGAGAGGTGCTGCTTTGTGGAAGGCGTTGATCTTCGGACGTTTTGCTTGTGGCTCTTTGGAGTCACCCTTTTGTTGCTTTGGCCCATCACGCTCACGCGTAGATTCGTCTTCCTCAATAAACGATCGTTTGCCGTTGAGAGCGCGTGGGGTCGTGGTAGGACGAGACGGTGACTCCTTAGAGATGTTCGATTGGGCAGAAGCCTTGCGCGCGGACGGAGGTTGGAACATGCTAGGGACTGGACCCTTCTGGGAGGAAGTCAGTTCTCCTGGAGAGGACGACGGTTCTTCAATGAAGCTCTGGCAGCCGGAGTCGATGTGGTCATTGATCTTCAACTGGGAGACAGATTGTTCGCATATTGGACAGGAAACCATGATGACCGGAGAATGATCTGGTCATTCAGTAAGTTACTCAAAAACTTCAAGGTGAGGTAAACGTAGAAATGATAACGTCCACCTGCGGGTGCGACGCGTTCAACGCGTTAATTAGTAAGTCACAAGCCTTGATGCCTGAAAATAGGCAAACAACAGAATCTACTACGTAGATACGTAGATGTACAAATGATATGTAGATGTGTAGATATAAGTACATATGAGTACTATATAATCCCCGAATGACCTGAACAAAGCAAAAAAAAAACAAGCTGGTCCACGTCCCGAGGGCCGTCAGAGCCGAATGCGGAGCACGCCATGGTGGGGAAATCTAACTCCTCCATATACTGACCCTCCTCTTCTTACTTTCTTCAATACTCATGTTCTCCCGCTCTTATCGCCATATACTCGCTCAATCACGGAATTGCAGGTCTACAACCGTATCTTCCGCCCCTTTAGCATTACGACCTGGCTACAGCGCAAGAGCGATGTCGGCTACAGCTTCGCGACCCGATCCCTTTCGCCCCGCCAAGCGGGTGGCAGGACAGCGCCAGGATGTCTGGTATGCAGTTCCGGGAAACAAGTTGGGAAAGATATACTGATTGGGATTCAAGGTCAATCGTCAACGAGGCCGCCGCAGCTTCGCCAGTTCAGCCGATTGTGAACATGGGCCAAGGGTTCTTGTGAGTCACCCATTTCGACCCCCAATTACTCCACGAGATGGGAATTGACGAGCAATTTTTCTGCGCAGTGGTTATAACCCTCCCAAGTTCGCTCTTGACGCTGCGAAGGATGCGCTCGACCGAGTGGAATGCAACCAATACTCCCCGACAAAGGTAGAGGACGCCAACGAATCTGCGCATGGTTACACAAGTACTCATACAATATAGGGTCGCCCCCGCCTCAGACAGGCTATCGCGGATGCTTACTCGCCGTTCTTTGGCAAGAAAATAAACCCCGAGACCGAGGTCTCGATTACAACTGGCGCAAATGAAGGTGAGATATCAGTATAATTTATACATAGATGGACATTTGGCGCTGACCAGTTACCGAAAAAAAGGCATGCTCAGTGCCTTCATGGGCTTCATCGAGGATGGTGATGAGGTCATTATCTTCGAGCCCTTCTTTGACCAGTAAGGAGCCCCAATATTGCGAGAGGGTTGAGGCGATGCTAATTCACTCGGAATAGATATATTAGCAACATTGAGATGCCCGGCGGTACTATCCGCTATGTTCCTCTCCACCCGCCCAAGGATGGTGCCACCAAGACCTCTCCTGCATCGGAGTGGACTATTAACTTTGAGGAGCTCGAGGGTGCCATGAACTCGAAGACAAAGATGATTGTAAGCATACAACCCCAAGATTCCCATGGATATTTAAGCTAACTGTAGCAGGTCTTGAACTCACCGTAAGCAGCCTTGATTAGGTAAATGAGGTCTCAACTAACAGTATATTAGGCACAACCCCGTTGGCAAGGTCTTCTCGCGCGAGGAGCTTGAGCGCATTGGTGAACTGTGCATCAAGTACAACCTTATCATCTTATCTGATGAAGTCTACGACCGCCTTTTCTACGTTCCCTACACTAGAATCGCTACTCTGTCCCCGGAGCTGTACGAGCGCACTTTGACTGTGGGCTCCGCCGGCAAGGCCTTCTACGCCACTGGGTGGCGTGTTGGGTACCTCATCGGTCCTGAACACCTGATCAAGTACGTGGCCGGTGCACACACCCGTATCTGTTACAGCAGTGTGTCTCCTCTCCAGGAAGCCGCTGCTGTTGCTTTCGAGCAGGCAGAGAAAGAGGGCTTCTGGGACGAGAGCCGCACAGACATGAAGGGTAAAATTGAGCGGTTCTGTGAGGTCTTTGACGAGCTTGGTATCCCGGTACGTGATTACTAAACCCCCAACTATCAAGTCTACTTTGTCATATATTGATCTTGCTGACATCAATCTCTACAGTACTCTGATCCTGAGGGTGGATACTTTGTACTTGTCAACATGGCCTCTGTAAAGCTCCCAGCTGACTATCCCTTCCCGCCCCATGTTGCTAGCCGTCCTCGTGATTTCAAGCTCTGCTGGTTCCTCATCCACGAAGTTGGCGTAGCTGCTATCCCTCCCACTGAATTCTACACTGATGCCAACGCCCACATTGCCGAGGATTATCTCCGCTTTGCGGTGTGCAAGAACGATGATGTTCTTGAGACTGCCAAGGAGCGCTTGAGGGGCCTGAAGAAGTATATCACCCAGTAAAGAAAGACATACACGGCTGTTATATGTGAGAAGTGACGAGATATAGATAGAAGTGCTACGATGCCAATAGAAAATTGGATATAAAGATGCAAGATATGTGCAAAAAGCCCCCAGTTCTCCTTATATCCATATTCCCCTGCGTGGTTAATCCACCAGTATACTCATGTACAGCTACTCCTACGTAACTTACAGCACTAAGAACAATGAGCCAGGCACGGTAGGACAAGCGCACAACCACGCGACGGTCTTTATTTCTACAAACAAAGGAGGGGGTGATCAACTCCCCCCTCCAAACCGCCGCCACCACCGAAAGCGTAAGATATAAATGGGCATCCTGGACCTGGGGGGCATCCACCGAATTCGCACTGATGATATATCTCTCCAAACCAGCCACCCCAGGTCCAGGACCCCGGTACAAAGAATTAGGGCTAGGGAGGGGACGGCTCCCTACCCTGACCACGGCATCTCCAACTCCATGGGGCCCGTTCCCGCCCCGTCCCAACCGACGCCACGGCAAAATAACCGCCGGTCCATTGAAAGGACCTCCGAGAAACCTGCCCCGCACGTGCGAGCCACCACGTCGCTCACCGAAGGATGGGTGGCTCGGTGCGCCCTCAGAATCCAGTAGTTGGATTCGAGGGCTTCGCACACTCTCCGGAAGCCCAACCCCATACGGTGGTTACCGAGCAACGTGGGGCGACGCTCGCTCGCGCAGGCCAGATCCTCGCAGTGGCGCCGGTCAGCACCGACCCACTCCGTCTCACAAGCATGCCGCAAGCCAAGACGGCTCTTATCGATGGTACCGCCCATCTCGAGTCCCATCTGGCGGCACAGCATGCTGTCCATGTCCTTGTCACTGGCCCACATGTTGTGAGCCCGCATCCAGTCCCGGACAAGCCGGTAAAGATAGTCCACGAGGGCTGGATGTTCAACCGCCGCTAGAAGAGAAGAAGTATTAGCATACGATCTAAAAGGTAGGTAATTATGAGGGGTATAAGATATCAAAGTGCAAGGGTGCTGAAAGTGAAATGAAGCTGGAAGTGTCAAGAAAGTGAAAGTGATATAAACTTACCGAAGAGACAAATTGCCAGGCACCGGCGGAACCGGTCCTTCTCTTCGGCGTCCTCGAATCGCACAATGTATACGATTCGAGGTGAACATCCACGCCCTGCGTGACTGGCTGGAGCGTCCGCAGCATTCACCGGGGTGTTCAGCTCCGCAAACACAAAGTAATCACCTCGGTCGCGGGCGGAGCTGAACCACAGCGCCTGACGATGGCGCTCAGGGCTGTCCCACTGGTGAAGGCTGGGAAGCATTGGTGGACCCACGAGATCGTCGTACGGAATCAAACCGGCCAAGTGCTGCTCCAGGACTGGCTGCTTCGTGCAATTTGGCCAGTGCCTCTTGGCATCCTCCCACAGGTGGTTCTTGCCGCAGTAGCGGACCAAGGAAAACGGTCCGCACTTAGGGCAAACAACGGAGACCCCATCCCCCAAAACACAGAGGACTTGACAGTCTTTCTCCTCGCAGACAATACCGAGTCTGGGGGGGTCCATCTGTGCTTCAGGGGCTGGGGCCCCGATGTTGCCGAACTGCTTGGCTGTGGGAGTTGGTTCATCATCCTCGAACGACTCGGGTGGAGACGGAGAACGACCTTCCACTCCATCGCCCTGAGAGGAAGCACTCGAGACGGTGCGCTCGGCGTCCGCGCTGCGCTCTTGCTGACGCTTTATCAACTTCCTGCGCATCCGTTTGACATGCTTCCTCTGTTTGTATACACTCTTCCTGTCATACCGGCTAGACTCGGCTGGACTTTGGTCACCTGACTGAACGGTGCCATCTGAACTAGGATCATTTGTCCCAAATCCAGCCGAGTCTGTGGTGAGTATGGCGGAAGAGGCACGTGAGGGCGATCGAGGGTCGGCCGTTGGAGACGAGGATGCGATTTCCTGGTCCCTAAAGAGCCCTGTAACCTTTTTGTTAGAATTTATTCAAAGTAGAACCTAAGTAAAACGCGATTGCATACCTAGACTGGCCGGATCAAAAGACTGACTTCGACGCAAGACTGGCTCCTGCGCCTCGTGGCCGCCAAGGTACTCTTCAGGGTCTAGATAATAGTTAGCAGATGCATCAATAATGATATCAAGAGTGGGTAACTTACCAGAAAACCACACCTCGTCCCTATTGTCCGAGACAGGACACCGAATCCCAACCTCATCCCCCCCGCGGAGTAGAGCACAGCTCATCTGAATCCTCTGCTGGCTCATTTTCTTCCGCTTGCACTCCCCCTTCCCCCTATTCTCTTTCTTCCATGGGGTGCTCATAGGTGTGAAGAAAGGTGAAAGTGAGGATGAGGGGAGGGGAGTGTGGGGGGGAGGGGTGGGTTCGGGCCGTCTCGAATGATGGAGAAAATGGGGCAGTCAAGCCATTGGGGGTGATGGGGGTAATAGGGGATCGGGGGGCATTGACTGTTTGTTGGCCAGCAACTGCCGCAAGCTGCTGCTCAGTCTGGACATCCCGTCGAGCGATGTCCTGCACCCCCGAAAGTAAGTCGACACGCTGGTTGTCACAATGTTGGTCACCACGTTGGTCTGTAACACATTCTTTAATGTGACGGGTGACGTGGTCTGCGTCCTTCTTTCCTGAGTCGGAGCCAGACCAACCAGGCGTGCGCTTGCCCTTACGCTTACCCTTGCCCTTTGACCTTTTGTTGCTTTTCTGGGTATCAATAGTGAGCGTAGAAACTCTCTTGGCCAACCCTTTCTCGGTCGACTCTTCATGTGGCGACTCTTCATGAAGCAACTCTTCCTCGGTCAACTCTTGACTTCCCATTATCTCCATTGTATGTTCTTGCCCTAACACTGACTGCCGCGTTCTTGGCACAACTGACGCATCGGACTTTTCGTCTTTAGAACTTCCTTCTTGAGCCGTGGAAGATTCTTGGGCTCTGTTTGGCATGTTCTTTGATGCCATTCTCCCTTTATTCTTTCTTCGAAAAGGGGGATTGTGATCAGCAATCAATTTTCCAAACAGTTTGCTGTCACCAGTGTCCCCAGTCTCTGCAATCATCCACTGAATGCGCAGCCAAATCCGGACCGGAAGTGCCATGTATTGGCCGTAAGTGTTCTATGATATGTCAGTTAAATTCCAAGAATAATGGTGAAGCTTCTATACTGACAGGGTCCTTTTTAGAGATCATCTGATAAAACGGGTCACGCTCATCAACGGTGGCTATCATCTGCTCCTCGCGTCTTTCATTCCGTCTACTGACGAACTTGAACTTGATGATTGGCGATGTTTCTTTCGCTTTCATCCAGGTTACTCGGCAGCCGCATGTGTCCCGTTGGGATGTCCAGTCGATGTAATGGCTCTCTCTCTTTGGATTATTTGACTCTCGATCAGCCGCTGCACAACCTGGCTCGATGTTCTTCATGCCAATCTTCTGTGGAAACATGAAGAGTGCTTCGATCGATTGCATGATCCCCAGCATGCCACCTGGGTGATTGGTGGGAATCGTGAAGTCAATGTATACCAATTTTGGGCCTTCAACAACCCCCTGAAGGTTTCCCTTAGGGTTGCCCTTGGGGTTGTTCTCCACGATGAACGTCGGGCACGGTGTCTGCCAGTTCTCAATCTTCAGCCTCAACTGGCCATTGCCCAGAGTGAGCCCAGTCTTTTTATCATTCCAATTATCTGACTCTGGCTGAGTCAGGCCGGGTTGTTCCTCGGCAGATTGGCTTGATTCGGGCAGCATCATCTCAGAACTGGTCGAAGCAGGGTTAAGCAGTTCTGGTACTCGCATTCTGTGAGTTGTGTACTGCTTTTTGGTGGAGGACTGAAGCTCATCGGAGCTGGGTAGCTGGGTGTGTACTTCCGACTTTACGTCAGGTCCCTGTTCAGACCCAGGTTGAGGATCATGCGGGAGAATCTTGCCATCAGCGATCTTGCTCAAGACGGTAGACATTTCGGATGATGAAGGTGGTGAACTTTTGGACCCATCTCGTCTGTTAGTGACTTTCCATTGAGTTATGTCTTTCTTCGAATTTTCAAGACATACCGAGTGGAAATAAGAAAGAGGTATGTGATTTTCTCTGTCAAGTATGGGGATGAAGCTGACCATTTATTAGCTTAGATTCATGGATATCTGATACCATGGTTCACAAGAAGAATCACTCACTTGATGATAGGCAAAGGCCTATAGCAGTTTCTTACTGCTCACTGAGTTTCTGATGTGTCAGTAGAGGCTCAAGAGGCTCATGAAGGGTGCATCAAGAGCGTACCAAATATTCCTCGGTCGGCACAGGGTTCTCTTCGGCCCAGGATTGCTCTCGGGGTATTCAACAAAGATATTTCGCTGCAGGATACATCAGTCAAATTCACGATAGGTCATCTGTCTTGACAAGAGATAACTTACCACTATCGGCCTTCAACACAGTGACAAGCTGTTAGCTTTTGGTCTAAATGCGACAGGTTATTTGCACTGCTCCGACCGTATGTTAGTCAACAGAACAAGAGGTCATACGGCTTGAAGACAAATCACTTACCAAGAAGTCCTTGAGAACTGGAAGCTGTGAGATTTGATCTTACGCGGGAGGATGTGTGTACTATCCCGGCCATGCATCAGTCAACAGAACAATAGCAGACACAACTTCACCCAAATGATTTGTCCTTAGGACACCTAAAACTGGGGGAATGGTCTTACAACTGTGGCTGCTGTCTTAATTCATCCATCAGCCAATGTCCATGGACATCTGGGATGACCCAACGCGTGAAGATGGGCGACAACTTACTCTGTGGGGTTTCAAAGCTTGGCTCATGCGTCTGTGACATGCACCATGTGCTGAAACACGTTTTGTGCTCTTTGGGACAATGACTTTGGTCAGTCAAAGAGATGAAAAGTGAGACGCGCGATCCAAGGCTATTGGGTGCGTGGGGAGATGTTTGAAAGAAAGGAGACTGGGAAGAGAAAGAGATGGCAACAAAGGAAGACAACAAGAAAGAACAAGAGTCGATAAGCATCGATAAGCATCGCAGTTCGACAACAATGGATGAGACAAACAGACTGTGCACGTGCTACCACCACAGGGTCTTCGATCGGAAGTTGCGACTGGCCGGGCGAATGTGACAGAAATGAACATACTTACATGCCTCTTTCCTAGCAAAGTTATTGCGAAGGCTGGACAGATAAATTGAGTCAAGCATTGAGGTATGAAAAAGGTTTGATAAGCTCTGCCGGTACTGTGGGTTTATGGTTATCATCAAGTTGTGATTCCAGTCCCGCTTACTTGACAAGAGTCTCAAGTTAAACCTTGAGAGCTTCTCTGTAACGTCAGCTTCCGTTAGATTCTGTGCCAAAAGGGTCAATACGTGATACGGAGTATCCGTATTCAGAAAACGCCCTGACATGCAACTGGAAAGATGAAAACGACAATACGACTTGCTTGTCACCCCCCACAAATACCCCCATGATTCTGGCTTGATTTTTCTTCTACAACATCCGAGCTATCAATAGCAAGCATATGCAGAGCTATATCCGACGGGATCAGCCTCTGCTCAAACCTTCTGCTCACCAACCAACTACATCAAAGATGAAGCGACAGAACTGAAATGGAGATTTGGAGGACGCCGCACGAACAGGAAGTACATTGCGAGTAATCTTTTCTTCAGCTAGTTTTAATACTACTTAGCTCTAGGCTCAGGAATTTGATCTCATATTTAAGGCAATTGTTGCTTTTTATCAATCTTCTTGCGTGGAAGTTCCAAAAAACATACCTCAAGCAATTCACCTGAAGAGGAGATAGTACATAAAGGCCAGTGTAGTAGTCATCGTCTATTATTTTGCCATGTGAACACAACACAGCGAGTCAACTGGGAATCTGAGTGTTTTTTTGACATATAATTCAGGACATGTAGTTGCAAGTTGTTAGGGTGCGAGTTGGTCACGTGTGGTCACGTTTCGCGCTGACCTCGTGAATGTCACGTGATTTAACTCTTCCAGCGTCGGCGACCACGACTCGAATAAACATCGGGTAATTTTCCACGTACGCCATCCTTTAACAGACTTACTAAATTACCTATAATCACATGGAATATATTCTAATTTGATCGGTCATCTTTTTATTACCCAAAGTTGTCCTCATAGAAATTTTACTCTGCACTCGAGTGCGATCTTCGGTGAATCGATTCACAGACTGGAACAACACTCGAGTTAAGCGGCAACACCCAAAAACAAAAACTAACCCCCAGATGTCAAACAACATGACTGTAGTCTACACGCATGACATGGACCCGAAATATCTGTACAAGCATAATGTTAGATCAACCAGCTTTCGCTGCCTGGCTATTGGCTCTTAGTCGTGGGCGGCTAAGCGCCCATGGTGGCTATATTTGGCTGATTGTCCACTCCGGCGCTTTTGACACACACAGTAGCCAGTGAGACGCTCTGATGCTTCATGAAACAACCCATTACACAGACTCCTTGTCTTCAGGCTTTATTTTTATATTTTCTTTGTTTCGAGATGGTTATAGTTCACTCTGATTGGGGCTGTCTCGACTATACGGGGCTGCCAAGGTCCATCAGACTGCTTCTTTATGAGCGGCATTGGGCTATTGTTATGTCTGCTGCCGCCCAGGATGTCTGACAATTTTTAGGTGACGTTTGCAGGCTACTATATTTGAAGATTCATTGTCCCTTGTTTTATTTTGATTCTATTGTTCTCAGTCCCGGTCTATTCATCTATTGATCCCCCATTCATTCAACATCTATAAGAAATCATATACAACCATGTCCCCCCACTAGTCTGGACTTTCCCTTTGCTCTCTTTATCCTCTTTTAAGGACTCTCCACTTTTCTGCAGGCTTTGCATATTTTTCCTTGATTTAATTAGACCTCCGAGCATTCCTGGTCTTCGCTGGACGAGATCACACCTGAAACATCTGACAGCTATCGCTTTCGAGCAAAAGAATCGCTGCAATGGTCTTCACCCGATCCGGTCGATCGGTCTTTCCACTGCTCCCGCCTTATGGAGCTCATGATTCGAGCACAGGGCGGATAATTCCTCTACATCCAGATGGCCTCACTCCCTATCTCGGTCTGCGAGCTCGACTTTCACAAGTATGGATCAATCGATGGACTATACTTTTGCTGCTTGTTCTCTTCCGGGTGTTGATTGCAGTTGGCGACTTGCAGTCCAACATGGCATCCGCCAAGCGTGAGGCTCTCTCTGCATGCACGTCGGTGGAATCCATGGGTAGTGCGATGGCCTCAATGCCCTACTACCTATCCCAGGGCACCAACGAACTTGTGGCTTCCTCGGTTGATGAGGCCGTTTCTGCCTTGAAATCCGTGTTGTTGATGACTATCACGGGCGTCGGGGAGATCCTTTGGTTTGTCATTAACATGATGTACTCCACCTACGCCTGTCTTATTACAATGGCCGTCCGCGGCACTGTAGGAGCCGGGATTGAATTGATCAAGGAAGCTACTGAGTGGATCAACAAGACCCTCAAGACAATCAGTGGCGACATTGAGAGTACCGTCGACAAATACAAAGACGAACTGAACTCATTCCTCGAGACAATCAACAAAGTGGCTAGCGTGTTCTCGGATGATCCTAGTCCAATCAACCTAAATGGCACAATTAGTACACTGGAGAATTTGTCTCTTCCGTCGTCAGTTAACCGCACGGTCGAAAAATTGGACAGCCTCGTCCTCCCCAACTTCAAAGAGATCCAAAATTACACAAAAACTCTCTTTGAAACACCCTTTAAAGAGGTCAGGGATTTGGTCAACGGCACTTTGGGCACATACAGCTTCGATCGATCCGCTCTCCCGGTCCCTGCCAAGACGCAGTTGACCTTCTGCAACGACAACAAAGGAATCAATGATTTCTTTAACGGTGTCACCGAGCTGACACTAAAGGCACGCAAAATATTCATTGCTGTCCTCATCATTGCTGCCATATTGGTGTGCATTCCAATCGTGTGGCAAGAAATCCGCCGATGGCGCTCAATGAAAGAGCGCTCCCAGCTAGTTCGCAAGGAAGCCCATGATCCAATGGACGTTGTCTACATTGTCTCACGGCCATACACCGCTGCTGCGGGCATCAAGGCGGCAAGTCACTTCAGCAACAGTCGCCGACAGATCCTCGTTCGATGGGCCATTGCCTACGCAACATCCCTTCCTGCTCTTTTCGTCTTGGCTCTTGCACTAGCGGCATTATTCTCTTGTCTTTGTCAATACCTCCTCCTTCACTCGGTGAAACAAACAGTTCCCGCACTTAGTGCCGAGGTGGGCGAATTCGCAGACAAGGTCGTTGACGCACTGGAAAGTGCCTCGACAGATTGGGCTACCGACGCCAATAAGGCCATTATTAATCTCGACACCGACCTAAACCAAAATGTGTTCGGCTGGGTCAACACCAGCACGCACGCCATAAATGGGACTCTAAATTTCTTCATCTACAACACATCCAGTGTTTTGAACGAGACCTTCAAAGGCACCATTCTACAAGAACCTGTCTACGAGCTATACGAGTGTCTCATCGGCCTCAAAGCAGAGGCACTCCAAAAGGGTCTGAATTGGGTAGCTGAGCACGCACATATCTCCCTCCCCACTCTTCCGAATGACACATTCTCCGCCGGTGCCGCCTCCAGCATCAATGACACCTCCAATCCCTCAGACAGTTTCCTCGCCGATGCTGGCGATCAGACAGCCAACAAAATTTCCGAGGTTGTTGTCAGTGTGATCAACAAACTAGAAGCAGCGGTGCGCATCGAAGCCATCATTGCCACTGTCATTCTCCTACTCTGGGTATTCATCGCCTTGATTGGTATCACTCGTGCCATGATGCTTTTCTGGAGTCGCGATAAAAATCGTGGCGAGGGGGGTCAGGGTCATATACTGGATCCTGTGCCCAATGGTGGGCCACCACCCCAAGATCTGAATGGCTTTACTGAAGTTCCACTCACTGGTATTCCGAGAAATATGTCTGGAGATGGACACATTGTCCCTCAGTATACAGCAGCGGCACCATCCGTGCCTGTGCGGAGTGAGCCGTCATATGGTGATGAGAAGCTTGGTTTTGCAGGGCAAAGGAACTATGAGCATGCACTGCAGGTGGACTCGGGTCCTGATCTGAGGGGAAGTAGCTACGTTGAATATGATGTGAAGCGATGATGGGGATGTATTCCTGTCTTCCTTCATGTTTTCTATCCTCGCTTTTCGCCAGAGAACTGTGCTATACCTCCTGAGCGTCTCTCTCTCTCCCTTCGTGCCATCCCAGTATCTCATTGTACTGCTTTGGCCATCTGTTTCTATATGGAGCCATTGTCCAGTGTTCTATCATAATAATTCCCAATAAAACAGCATTTTTAGTTTAGAATCAAGAATTTTACTTGATTTAGAAATCTTAATTTCCCATCCCATGTTAAACATCATTATAAGAGTACAGCACACTTCATACAACGCCTCTTGCCTAATTGGTATAAATATGATAGAAAGTATTTCAATCTAATTTGTCTGACTATACTAAACAAAAACTCCATGACATGGTATACTTTCATACAAATCATCGACCATAAATTGACAGCCACTATATGGCAACAAAGAAGCTCTTCTCCCCCTCCTTAGGCTGCACTCTCACCCTCTCAATAATCGGATCAGCACAGCTAATCCGAATACGCTCAGGGGTAGCAGGGGACTCCAAAGAGAGCACGTCATTCACGTTCCACTGCTTACGTGCAGCCTTCAAGGCGTCACGAATAGCAAAGAAGACCGCACTGCCCATAAACAGGGGCGGCTCGCCGACACCACGGGAACGTTGAATAGTGCGCAAGTTCTCCCACTCCACATCCTTAAGCAAACTCACGTTGAAAATCTGCGGGATATCACGGAAGCCAGGGATTTTGTAGTTGCCCGGGCCTTTGGTGAATATCTGACCAGAGGCACGGTGCCAGAGACTCTCTTCGGTGGTGAAGAGACCTTGTCCTTGTACAAAGGCGCCTTCAATCTGACCGTAATCCACTGAGGGGTTGATACTGCGACCCACATCCATTTTTATGTCGGCGCGTAGAGGCGTCCAATCACCTGTCAATGTGTCAATTTGGACTTCAGCAGCAGTAACTCCTTGTGTGAAGTAGAAGAACATCTGGCCGCTGTTCTCACCCCACACGTAGCCGATATCGGGGGTACGGTAGTATCCTTGTGCGGAGAGGTTGACACGGTCGAAGTAAGCTGCGTGAGCAAGTTCTTTCATGGTGGCATTGGGCATCTTCTCTCGGAAGGGGCGTAAGCGTTCGTTGATTTGTTCACATGCATTAAAGACGGCGTAACCGTTGAGATCGGAGCTTGCTGAAGCAGCGGTTGAGGAGGTATTTGCCACTGTATTAGTTGCAGTCTCGGATATAAAGACGCTCTCCTGCGGCACTCGCAACGCTTCGGCGGCAATCATGGTCATCTTTGTGTGGAGGCCTTGCCCCATTTCAACACCACCGTGTGCTACAAGAACACTACCATCGTGGTAGATGTGAACCAAAGCTCCTGCTTGGTTCAAGAAGAGAGCTGTAAAGGAGATACCGAACTTGGTTGGCACAATCGCCATTCCACGTTTAGACCACTTGTGCTGCGCGTTGTATTTCTCAACAGCCTTCCGACGCTCGTTATAAGAGCTCTCTTCCATCACTTGCTTGTACATCAACGGCACATACCAATCTTTGAGAGGTTGGTTGAAATGCGTCTTATCATCTGGCTTGTACATGTTGATGGCCCGGATCTCTTCGGCTGGAATATCCAGATGATCGGCAATCTCTGATATATAAGACTCGGCGAAGAACATGCCTTGTGGGCCACCAAAGCCACGGAAAGCTGTGTTTGAAACAGTGTTGGTTTTGCAAACCCGGCCGCGTACATTGACATTCGGTATTTTATACACGCCATCAATGTGCGACAAGCTTCGCTCCACGACGGCACCGGAAAGATCTTGCGTGTGACCTCCATTGGCGAATACATCTGCATCAAGCGCAAGGATCTTTCCTTCTTTGGTCACACCAACCTTCCATCGACAGAGGAACGGGTGACGCTGGCCGGAAGTCAATATATCTTCATCGCGATTGAGCATACATCGCACGGGTCGCTTCAGTTTTGTAGCCGCAACGGCACAAATACCAGCCAGTTGAATAGATCGTGACTCCTTGCCACCAAAGCCACCACCAAGCCGTTTCACACGCGATACGACTTTATTCGCAGATACTCCTGTCACCTGAGCGACATAGGCTTGTCTGTAAACTATTAGCGTGGATTCTGTGAAGAGACACAGTTGAATAGATCGCTACTCACGTTTCCGTAGGATTCTGGGTAGAACTCCAAATCTCCATTTCACCATCCTCTGGCTTTGGAATTGCGACACAGGCTTGCGTTTCCAGGTAGAAGTGCTCTTGGCCACCCATTCGCGAAACTCCAGTAAAGATGTGGTCAGCTTTTTTGAAAGCTTCCTCGGTATCACCATTCTTGATGAAGCGATAGTGCTCAAAATAAGACTCCGCCTCGATGGCCTCTTCCATCGTAAGGATACTAGGGAGGTCTTCATATTCAACCTTGACAGCCCTCATACCTTCCTCGGCGATTTTAGCGGAAGTTGCCAGGATCACACCAATGGGTTGACCAGCAGTGGTAACTTCATCAACGGCAAAGAAAAGCTCATCGGACTTGGGCTGCCCCCCACCAGTTTGCCTGGGGGTTAGGAAGATCTGTGTGGTCCACGTAGTCCGCAACACCTGGGATGTCCAATGCAGCAGACGGGTCAACGCTAAGGATCTTGGCATGAGGTTTGGTAGACAGAAGCATGCAGGCGAATAACTCATTCTGTTGAACAGGGATATCATCTGTGTATTGAGCTGCTCCTGTGGTCTGTTTCAACGCTGCAACGTGCGGAGTGGCTCGTCCAAGAATCTTCTGTTGGTACGCGACGGAGGTCTCAAGATCCTTTGCTCCTGTGGAAATTTCTCTCTCAATCTCAGCGATAACGTCTGGATCCAAATCTGAAGCCTTGACCTCGAGTCCTGAAAGTACGTCGTAGTAGAATCTGTAGAAGAATCCCAAAGCCAAAGACTTCCGGTAACTGGCCATACCACCGGGAACTCCAAACGGCAGGTTAAAATCTTGCTCCAGTGCGCTCATGACACCCTCTAGAGTTGCGGGGTTTGTGAACTTCTTGCCAACCAAAAATGCCTCGGCATTCTTCGCTGAAACTGTCATAGCTGCCATACCACCAAACACAAGGTTCGCGCTGACCACATCATTGGTCTCCGAAAGAGTCACCCGTAACGCGGAGTTGACAATTGCAATATCATCGTCCTTCCGCTTGGCCTGTTTATAAGCTCGCATGTGCTCTCCCTGTGCCTTCGCAACTGGAATGCGCAGGCTAGCAATTATTGCGTTGGGGGCGAGGGCGGTCTTTCTGTATCCCTGGAAGAATTCGGTCATTGGAATTTCGGTCTCACCTTCGAGAGACTTGGCCACGAGGATAGTGTTGGTGGCTACCAAAACCGGGTTGAGATCAGAGATTGGTGATGCAGTGGCCAAATTACCCGCAGGGGAAGCGACATTTCGGATCTGTCGCCCCGCGAAATAAAGCAATTGCTTCTTAATCGCTTTGAAAGGCTGGCCTCTGGCTTCACCGTATTTCTCTACCGCTTGGTCACAGATGTGTTCGAGGTCTGTCAAGGACACATTTGCACCAATCTCCAAACAATCGTCGTGCAAGGTAAATTGTCGCAATTCGGGGATATCTCCCAGGTAGACGGAGGCCGCGTATCGCATTGCTTTAAACTTGATCTCAATTTGTGTCTCCGTGCTTCCACCAATTAGTTTAGCGTCTGGGTGGACGTTCTTAATCTGCAACAGTTGCGCGACGGTCACTGGTCGGTACCATTTCTTCTTCTTGTTACCATATGCTAAGGGTCGGTATTCGTGTTTCCGCAAAGCAGCAGGGAAGATCAGTTCTGTGTCTGGACTGTACGGTTTGAAGTCTGGCGCAGGAAACTTGTAATCGACCGTCTCGTTCTCGTCATTGTTGGTAGAAGGCCCTTTACAGCAACCACCGGAGCCTTTTTTCTCCATGCAGCAGCCCGACCCACCATTGGAAGAGGCCTTTCCGCAGTTATTTGTTGAGTTGAAGCTCTGAGCAGCATCTAGAATAGGTCGATAACCCGTGCATCGGCAAAGGTTTCCATCAAAGGCTTCTTCGACATCGTGTTCCGAAGGAGACGGATTGTTTCGCAGCAAGGCATAAAGAGACTTGAAACTATCAGTCAACTTCACATCCCTTCCGAGACAGAAAAACCCCGAAGCAAGGAAAAGGACCACATAGGCGTACCATGACTATTCCAGGAGTACAGAAACCACATTGACTTCCATTACCAACTGCAATTCGCTGCTGGATAGCATGGGGATCTTTCACATTCCCAATCCCTTCGACTGTGATAACGTGTTTACCATCAATGCTAACGAGTGGGGCAATACAAGCATTCACGGAAGCATGGTAGATTTTCTTCGTTGTAGGATTGATATGGGAGACGACCTATTGACGGTATAACAGCTCTGGTTAGCACTAGGTGCATAACCCAATATAGTTGACTCGAACCCACCACAGTGCAAGCACCACAGCCTCCCTCGGCACATCCAAGCTTTGTACCTGTCAACCCAATACCCCGCAGGTATTCAAGTAGGGTCACTTCCGGGTTGATCGTGTCTATCACAACCTTGGTGCCGTTGAGATAGAACCGAATAGTGTCATCCCAGTCTTCAGTCAATGCAGAGAGGCTGGTCAGCTTCTCAACCACGACTGTGGAGTCCGTCTCTAGGATTCCCGGCGCCATGGTGGAAATGTGGAGATTGTGGCGATATTTAGAGGTAGGCTTTCAAGGGCGACTTCAGGTGCGCATCTTGGGTTTTATAGCGAATTAGGGAATCTTGCAAGGACTTGAATCTATTACTAAAATGAAGTCTTGCAAAAAGTCAATATCAAAGGAGGGGAAGTTCAGATGAGATCAATTTTCCAGATTCGATATCAGGTGGGCCCTTGTTATCTTTGCGGGGATCGCCACTGTCCGACGAAGGAATTCGGATGACCGTCGGGTTCCGGCTTGGCACCTCACCCAGTGGTTTTGCTGGGATTACTACTCCGCATATACTTACTCAGTATATATTGACTATTATGTATATAATAAGTCTTGAACATCTGTCTTGGTCAAATTTCTATATCTGAATTACGCCAAACCAAAAAAAATAAAAAAAAAAGATATGCTACAATACATATATAAAGAAATGGTCCATAAATGGTAACCCGCGAATGCACGCTCACGGTCTCGACCCTGCAAAGGCTTTCTCTTCCTCTTCCCACTTCTTTCGTTCGACGACACTTCGGGCCCTATATGGTAATGGAATTAGTAAAGAGTGTATGAGACATTAGACAGCAACAACTTACCGATAGGCCTTCACAAAACGCCAAACCTCTGTGTCTGCAAGGTTCCAAGCCTCAACAACATCCTTGATGTTGATACGGTTCGTTTCCTTGTTCTTGATTACCTCGCGGGCTTTCTGGATGAGTTCATATTCTTTGCCGACGCCTTGTTCGCTTGGCGTGTGATCCTGCGCGCTCTTGGCGGAGTCTTTGTCATTCTCAGTTGCGGGATCAATATTACTCCCACGAGGGATCTTGAAACCAAACTGCCATTCAAACTCGTCCAAGAGTTCTGAGGGGAGACTCTGGCCTGCCTGAGCAGGGAGAGATTCCACTGTCATCCACAAAGAAGTCCCCACAGCATCTTCACCTGCGACAACCTGCTTGAAGATCACTCCCCGGTATGAAGAACCCAATTCGGGTCCAAGGTGTTCCTTGGTCACCTCAGACAACCATGCGTCGCGCTCGGTCTCCCGACGAACTTGTGGTGTGGTGATCTCCTCCGAGTTCCTCTCCAGACTGATAAGAGTGTAGGGGTGAGGAAGGGTGCCGATGGTGAACAAGAAGGTGGTGTTTTTATAGGTCGAAGGCTGGCTGATACGCATGGGTTGCTTTGCAGACCCAGATCCACATGGACGGCAGTCGGGTTCATTGGGTGGACAAGAGTCGGGAATGGGCGATTCGGGGCACTGGATAAGAGCCTTTGCCAGCCGAAGAGCAGGTTCCACCAGCGCGGTAGTGTGCTGAGGGAACGGCTTTAGCACGGCCAGTCCGGCGGGGAAGGAGCTATGGAAGTGATTGTGGAGGTGGGAGTTGATCAGTTGGACAAGAGCCAGCTGACCACTCGCAGGGTTCTGGGTCATCTTTTCATGCACGGCAGAGTAGTGGGAGGTAATAGCTGCAGATTTATAAAATGCCAAAGCACTCGGCGGCTCAACCTTGAACGATTCCGGTGCAATCAGATCAATAAAGGACTGGGTTTTATCATCGAGCTTCATGACTGCGCTCTGAACGGCCGCATCGATCCGCGACTTGTCCGCCGCGTAGAGGCCATTCTTGAGGTTTTCGAATCGGGTAATTGACTCTGGGACAGTTCCTCGGCGAAGGTATGAGAGCATGGGATCATCATAACGTGCCATAGGGAAGCAGTGGAAGTCCGCGAGCAAACCGGTGCCCATGTGCCCCCACGCAAGCCAAGCGAACACCTCGTTCTGTGTTTTGGGCGCAAGTTTCCACTTTTGAACAATTTCATAGTTAGGGTTTTTCATCGCATCGCCCGGAGTCAATACCACGGGCTTGAATCCTTGTGCAAACCATGCTCGACGCCATGCGAGAAGCAATTCCGCATCGGCATTCTGCAAGTCCTTGAGATCCTTGCCATTGGCTTTGTTGGGATTATACTTCGCATCGTAGTATGTGTAGATCGGTCGACGTTCGCGGAGGGGAGGGAGGACGGATCGATTCTCATCCAAGGTGATGGCAGAGGAGAATGGGTTCAACCATTCGAGGGTGCTGTACCATTTCGACTCGCCATGTGTGCTGTTGGTCTGTTCCTCGGGCTGCTCGTGGGAGGGAGGGCGGAACGAGGGCAGGTGGAAGTTGCTTAATGAAGGTAGTTTTGGTGTGGGCACGAACTTGGCCGGGCCTGTGGCTGATTGCTCGCCCGCATCAGGCACCGGAGAGGACGAGAAAATGAATAGCAAAAGCGCGACAAAAACGATTACAGACAGGAGAGCTGTACTCCTGTGAGGAATCATCTTTCCAACATCCAAACCAGAGGACCTGTATAGAGGCCCGTCAAAAGTTGAAGAGTAAAAAAAAAAACACGTGTGGCTTCAAACTGCGACGCTTCTCCTGAAACTCCACCTCGAACGAGACCGGATTTGGCCAACGTAGTCTTGGCAAGAAAATGACGATAGATTTGAAGGCAGCTCAGTACACTCCCATCTGAATCTCTTGGGCTAAATTGATTCCACTCTGGCTTTCAGTGATGTACCAAATACAAAATCCAACCCTTGATAATAATAATCTTTCGGACTAGGACAGGGATGTTGATATCCTACAAAGTTGCCTGAGCTCGAAACGCAAATGATGACTCAGCCAATTGGAAACCTTAAATGACCTCCATCGGAAGAGTGGTCCGTGAGCATACAGCATATGAGCTCTGGTGTATAAAGCATGTATAAAGCAGGCATATGTTCAAGATGTGCTAGTATATATCTTTAAAAGATTAGGACGGTTGACACTTTTATTGCCTATGTATATATCGTGTTCATTTACAAGGGAATAGCAATGATTCACGAACACTCCAACATATATGTCTCTGTAGGTATCCAATGGAGCGAGATGAAGGCTTTATAAGATGATATGTATACCAGGAACATTTCACTAAACCAATATGTACATATCTTAAAACTACCGGCACATGCTATGTTGTACATATATATATGTACCTTGATCTTCCACCTAACTACATAGTTACATGCCTCCTTCACCGATATCAGACCTTTGCGGTAGTCATAGCCTCAGCACCTGAGATATAGCTGGCTTTGCAAGCATAGTCTTAAGTACCAAACAGCATATACAGTAGATATGTCAGACAAAAGGAAATAACTAAACCTCATTGCACATTCTACTTTGTACTCCCTACGATGTACAACCTTGCCTCGGTTCTGCCAATCTGTGCCGCCCTGGGCGGGAGAAACCTCAACTCCGACGCCACCCCACCATGTACAAAGCGGTGAGCACTATGTGGGGGAAACAGCTAATCAGCGCCTCAATTCTCATTGGCAGAAATAGCGGCGAGATCGGACTTTTCCACTATGGGGGGGTAATTTTAATATTGAGTCATCGTATCTTTCATTCTCCAACTATTTTGAACATACTGCAACGATGGCTGTAGGAACGGCCTCTTTGCAGGACCGCCTGGAGATATGGGCACAAAGGTTGAACAACCTGACTGTCTCTCCATTGACCCGCGATTATCCCGATACACAAAAGACCGACAGCAAGAGAGTCATTGAGGCTTTTGAGTCTCTTCAACTCCCTAAGGAGAAGCTTTCGGGCTCATCATCCGGCTTCACTGCTTTCCTGACTGCATACGTTATTCTGGTAGCGCGATTGACCGGTGATGAGGACATCGCTGTGGGCACGAACTCCAACGAGGATGGTCGTGCATTCGTCATCCGGGTGCCCATTGATACCTCGGAATCTTTTTCCCAGCTCCATGCCAAAGTAGAAAAGGTATGTATGTATGTTTTTTGCTATAGGGCTTACTGCTAAATGCCCCGCAGGCATATAAGGAGGGATCTTCCCAAATCGTGCCCTTGGGCAGCCTTCGCTCGTATATCCAGGAGAAGTCCAAGTCCGAACGCACACCGGTCCTCTTCCGATTCGCCGCATATGATGCCCCCGCTGCGTCGCAAGATTATCCTGCAAACACCTTCGATACCACTGATTTGGTGGTGAATGTTGCCCCGGGTTCAACTGAGGTCGAATTGGGCGCATACTACAACCAGCGTCTCTTCTCGAGTGCTCGTATTGCTATCGTTTTGAAGCAATTAGCCAGTATTGCTAGTAATGCTGCTGCCAATCCAGATGAGGCTATCGGCCGTATCGACTTCATGACCGAAGATCAGCGCGCACTCTTGCCCGACCCAACATCCAATTTGAACTGGTCTAACTTCCGTGGTGCCATCCACGATATTTTTACTGCCAATGCTGAAAGACACCCAGACAAGTTGTGTGTGGTTGAAACCCAGTCGAACAGCTCCCCTCACCGCGAGTTCACCTATCGCCAAATCAACGAGGCCTCCAACATCCTTGGGCATCATCTCGTACGGTCTGGCATTCAGCGAGGAGAGGTTGTCATGGTTTATGCCTACCGTGGTGTGGACCTGGTGGTTGCTGTCATGGGAATCTTGAAGGCCGGTGCGACGTTCTCGGTTATCGACCCCGCCTATCCTCCGGAACGTCAAAACATCTACCTTGATGTTGCCCGTCCCCGCGCTTTGGTGAACATTGCCAAGGCTACAAGAGATGCAGGTGAACTTGCGGACATTGTGCGTACTTTCATCGACGAGAATCTTGAGCTCCGCACTGAAATTCCTGCGCTTGCCCTACTCGATGATGGAACCCTTGTCGGTGGATCCGTCAAAGGCCAGGATGTCTTCGCCAACGAGGTTGCATTGAAGTCCAAGTCTACTGGTGTCATCGTTGGTCCTGACTCTATTCCCACCTTGTCTTTCACATCTGGCTCGGAAGGCCGGCCGAAGGGCGTTCGTGGCCGACACTTCTCTCTGGCCTATTATTTCCCTTGGATGTCTGAGACTTTCAAGCTCACCCCAGACGAGAAGTTCACTATGCTGAGTGGCATCGCTCACGATCCTATTCAGAGAGATATTTTCACTCCATTGTTCTTGGGTGCTCAACTCTTGGTGCCCGCTCGGGAGGACATCCAAAATGAAAAGCTTGCTGAATGGATGCAGAAGTACGGTGCCACCATCACTCACCTTACGCCTGCTATGGGTCAAATTCTTGTCGGTGGTGCCTCCGCTCAATTCCCTGCTCTTCACCACGCATTCTTTGTTGGTGATATTCTGATCAAGCGAGACTGCCGCTCACTCCAGGGACTTGCGCCTAATGTCAGCATTGTGAACATGTACGGAACAACTGAAACCCAGCGTGCTGTCAGCTACTTTGAAATTCCTAGCTACGCCAGCAACGAGGGCTACTTGAACAACATGAAGGATGTGATTATGGCTGGTCGCGGAATGTTGGATGTACAGATGCTGGTTGTCAACCGCTATGACCCCACTCGCCTCTGTGCTGTTGGAGAGGTCGGCGAGATCTACGTCCGTGCGGCAGGTCTTGCAGAGGGCTACCTTGGTTCCCCGGAACTGAGTGCGAAGAAGTTCCTTACCAACTGGTTTGTGAAGCCTGAAGTCTGGGCGGAAAAGGATCAAGCCGAATCCAAGAACGAGCCCTGGCGCGAATTCTATGTTGGTCCTCGTGATCGCCTTTACCGCAGTGGCGATCTAGGCCGTTACACACCATCTGGAGATGTTGAATGCTCTGGCCGCGCCGACGACCAAGTGAAGATCCGTGGTTTCCGTATTGAGCTTGGAGAGATCGACACCCATCTTTCTCAGCACCCTCTGGTCCGTGAGAACGTGACCTTGGTGCGAAGAGATAAGGACGAGGAACCCACCTTGGTCAGCTACTTTGTTCCCGATATGAACAAGTGGGCCTCGTGGTTGGAGAGCAAGGGCCTTAACGATGATGACTCCGAATCTGAGGGTATGGTTGGTCTGTTGCGACGCTTCCGTCCTCTCCGTGATGATGCTCGTGAGCACCTCCGGAGCAAGCTTCCTACATACGCAGTGCCGACCGTTATCATTCCCCTTAAGCGCATGCCTCTGAACCCGAACGGCAAGGTCGACAAGCCCGCACTTCCATTCCCAGACACTGCGGAACTGAGCGCCGCTGCACCCCGCCGCCGCTCGTCTGCAGTGCAGGCCCTTTCTGAAACCGAGCAGACACTGGCTCAAGTCTGGGCCAAGCTCATTCCCAATGTGACATCTCGCATGATTGGACCGGATGACTCCTTCTTTGATCTCGGTGGGCACAGTATCCTCGCACAGCAAATGTTCTTTGAGCTTCGTCGGAAGTGGCGTGTTATTGACATCAGCATGAACGCTATTTTCCGCAGCCCGACCCTCAAGGGCTTTGCTGGCGAGATTGACCGCCTGCTCGCAATGGAATCATTTGCAACTAGCGATGACAAGACCCTAGCTGTGCAAGCTGCTAATGAGCCGGATGATGAGTACTCGAAGGATGCCGTCAAGCTTGTGGATGAACTGCCCAAGACATTCCCTCAGCGCACTGAGGCTATGCTCACTAGCGAACCCACGGTGTTCCTTACTGGAGCCACTGGTTTCCTAGGCGCGCACATCCTCCGAGACCTGCTTACCCGTAAGTCTCCTTCCACCAAGGTGGTAGCTTTGGTTCGGGCAAAGTCCGAGGAGCAGGCACTTGAGCGACTCCGCTCCACTTGCCGCGCATATGGTTTCTGGGACGAAGCATGGACCCAGAAGCTGCAAGCCGTCTGTGGTGATCTTGGAAAGCCGCAGTTTGGCCTTTCCCAAACAACGTGGGACGACCTTACCAACCGCGTGGATGCTGTGATTCACAACGGAGCTCTTGTCCACTGGGTCTACCCCTATGCCACACTGAGACCGGCCAATGTTCTGGGTACCATCGATGCCCTCAAGCTGTGCGCCAGCGGAAAGGCCAAGCAGTTTGCTTTCGTCAGTTCGACCAGTGCTTTGGATAAGGATCACTTCGTCCAAGAATCCGAACGTATCATCGCTGCTGGTGGAAATGGTATCAGCGAAGACGATGATATGGAGGGTAGCAGAGTTGGCCTTGGAACCGGTTACGGCCAAAGCAAATGGGCTGGAGAATACCTTGTCAAAGAGGCCGGCCGCAGAGGTCTGAGGGGAACCATTATTCGCTCCGGATATGTTCTTGGTGATTCCGTCACTGGAACTACCAACACTGATGATTTCCTCATCCGTATGCTCAAGGGCTGCATTCAAATTGGTCTTCGCCCAAATATCTTCAACACCGTGAATATGGTCCCTGTCGACCATGTGGCTCGTATTGTCATTGCTACTGCCTTCCACCCACCTTCCACAGGCGTTAACGTCGCCCATGTTACTGGACACCCTCGCTTGCGCTTTAACCAGTTCCTTGGTGCGCTAGAGCTCTACGGATACAATGTCCCCCAGGTTGACTACGTGCCTTGGTCCACTTCCCTTGAGCAATATGTCAACGATGGCCAGCACAATGACAAGGAGTCTCAGCATGCTCTGTAAGTTTAAATTTTTTTTTCGGTCCATTGACGGATTCACACTAACCTTTTTTTAGTATGCCCCTGTATCACTTTGTTACGTCAGACCTTCCCTCCAACACCAAGGCCCCGGAGTTGGATGATGTGAACGCAGCGACGGCTCTGCGTGCCGATGCTATCTGGTCGGGCGTTGACGCATCAGCCGGTGCTGGCGTGACCGAGGAATTAGTCGGCTTGTATGCCTCGTATCTAGTACAAACTGGTTTCCTCCCCGCACCAACTGTCGCGGGGGCCCGCCCTCTACCTGCTGCTCAGATCAGTGAGGAACAGAAGAAGACCCTGTTGAGTGTCGGTGGCCGTGGTGGTGCATCTTGAAATTTATAAAAAAGATCTCATGTACTTATTCTGATATTCTGATTTTCAAAAAGCCTTTACATTTCCAACCCCCTGCAAAACATGTATTAAATTGAGCCATTAAAAACGTGGCTTGTGGTGTATACGACCTTGATAGTTCGGAATCGTTCGGCGTTATCGAAAGAGCCCGATTTGTCAATATGCCCGTTCTACAGTACTCGGGACTCGCCGTTTTCCCTCCCCACTCTTTATTTACTTTCACTGGGAAGTTTATATAGCTTAAAAAAGACCTTCTTTCTTGCTCTATTCCATATTTCCCTCCGCAATAATTAGTATTACATTATGTCTGAAGGTAAGTGTGTGAGCGGTGTTTATGCGCGTTCTTGGAAATTCAACTTCCCCATAAATTTTACTACTTTCTTTCTTATCTCTCATTCCACCCGGTCAAGACATGTCGAAACTCTATGAGACGTACTGCTTGTTAGGTAGGGGATTCCAGGTACTCACCTGACTCCCTGCTCACGATACAGTCTCGAGTGAAACGCACAATGACCACTCCCTCGGCAGCGCCTCCTACCAAGCCCTTATCAAGCTCTACACCGTTCTCCTATGCTTGTCACCAAAACACCAGTGCAGGATCACCCTCAAGCATGAACACACATCCTAAGCCCCAAACCTAGACTGAAACTGATATGGTTCCCGCAGATCGATATGCTGCAGGTCTGCGCCTGAACAAAGAATGGGCCGCACAGACAGCCCGCAAATACCCCAACCTCTTCCCTACCCTCGCCACGGGCCAAACACCGCAGATTCTATGGATCGGGTGCTCCGACTCTCGCTGCCCAGAAACCACCTTCTTGGGTCTCGAGCCCGGTGACGTCTTCGTACACCGCAACATTGCCAACGTCCTCCACCCGGGCGACCTCAGCTCCTCCGGGGTTATCGAATACGCCGTGCAATACCTGCGTGTCCATCACGTCGTGGTATGCGGGCACACATCCTGCGGTGGTGTCGCGGCCGCCATGGGAAACAAGAACCTGGGTATTTTGGACCCGTGGCTGTTTCCCCTTCGCCAGTTGCGTGAGCGCAATCTCAAACTTCTGCAGTCATTGCCCAGTAATGAGGCAGTGTCAAAGCTGGCAGAGTTGAACGTTCGCGAGGGCTTGAATATTGTCAAGCAGAAAAGTGTTGTGTTGAATGCCATTCGCGAGCGGGGACTTCAGCTTCATGGCTTGATTTATGATGTTGGATCAGGTGTGCTCAGTGAGCTGGACACGCAGGATTCGGAGGAGGTTATTAGGGCTCGTCTAACGGCTTTCCACACGGAATGAGTTAGCAGGGGGTTTTTTCGGAGTTGGCCAGCCCATTGCGAATGTAATACAAATGATACATAGAATATTTCTGGATAGCGACGGATATTTGATGAATTGATGAACACAAACATTACACAGAAAATTCTCGTTTTTCTTTTTTTCTTTTTTTTCCGGGGAGAAATGCTGGGGATACCCCTCATAAATATATGGTACGATGTTATGGAGGGATCCGCAATGGTCGGGGATGGTGTAAGACCAATTAGAGTGTCCAAGTGTGAAACATCCCGATGTCTTTATATCGTAGGCCTCTATACGGAGCATATACGACGTTTGTGGTTTGATCATCTTTCTATAATCCTGCCAACACATCCATGGACCTTCCCTGCAAGGATTAGGTATCTTTTGTATAACAGCTCCTTATAAAAGCCACATAAACACAACATACGACATTATTATACGTTCACATCTACCTCGGCTTACTTGTCCAACACTTTTATAGATCTTTCTAGTTCTCTTTCCAGACATGCAGTGATTGAAGAGATGGTATGGATTGGTAAGTCTATCCATGGTTGATTATTGTTCACCTGAGCCCTTAACACCTAACCATCATCCATGAACTAAATAATATCAGTAACCTTGGAATAATACTTATGACTTACCTAAATAACAGTTGACAACTACTGCTAGAAGGTGTAATAGTAGCGTAAGATATCTATGAATTTATGGATGGCTACGTGTAAAGCAAACATATAAGGGTAATCCCTCCAATCTTGGTTCCTTCCCTGAGTTCCTACTTAACCTTCCCTCTACCTCTCCCTTCTTCATATTCAAATCTTCTTTTTTCCTATCCTCTAGTGGCATTCATCATGGCGATCGAAATCTCAGATGGAGTTGGTAAGTATATGACCTTTCTGGCGTTTGACTACCATTCATCTAACCACGCTAATGATCAAAGCCATCGATGATGGTACCACCAAGCCCGAGGCCAAGGATATCCAGTATGAGCCTGTAGGCACCCTCTGTGATTTCCGCACCCTCTACCGGACAAATCCCGATGCATATGGTAAGAAGTCATGGAGCAAAAAGGTGCCCATCGACTTGCCTGATCACGTCGAGGATGCCGAGTCAGCGCAATACGCACTTCTCGTAAGAAAAAAGAAGTGCTATGATGGACGCAGAAGCTTGTCTATCCACTCCATCATAGTGCAAAGCGAGCGTCTCAAGAGGTTCTTGAAAGAGGCACTGGACAACTATCCTGGTGTAACGACGACCTTGCAGCGCCTCGAGATCGCATCGCCTTTCCGGCCTTTTGTTCATCGATGGGAAGCAATTACCAAACTACGAGACGGAGAGAAGGATCCAACAACCAAGGCCCATGTGGATATGTTCTACCGCATCATGGACGAGGAGCTCAGGAATGTGATTGACCGCAAGAACGACCTGGTTGCCAAAGGGGTAATCACCCACGACTTGGTTTGGACGATCCTGGAACCTCAAGATGTGGTTCTTTCCTCAATTGATGGAACTCTGTGTGCATATTTGCTCACCCAATCATCACCGGAAGATGGAAAATCGGAAAATGATTATCTCAAAATGGAATTCGTTGGATTCGACGGAAGCAAATTCGGATACAAATACACAGCTTTCCGGATACCCAGCTTTGTGGGCACGATGCCAATTACCTCATTGACATTCTTTCCACTTAGGTACCACCCAGAAAAGGATGCTATTCAAGACTTGTTGATTTCACGGGGCAAGAAGTGGGAAGGATACAAGGGGTACCACTTCAAAGCCTATGAAGAGGCTTCAACCGGCACGAACTCCAAAAGTCGGGATGACAATTCGAGGGACACTAAACATCATGTCAAGAGTCGCGTCATCATCGACATCGACGCATACAAGACTTTTGCGCGCATGGCCTTAGTCACCGTTGACAGGGAAATTGATGGAGAACTAGATGATTCGCAGCGCCTCATTGCAACCCCAACGCTCTATGGATATTCTTTGAGTGAGAAAGAATGGAGTACGTTCCTCGTGGATCAACTGAAAGACATTGAGTGGGACGAGCAGGCCTTTGAGTCACTGGTCCTACCGCGGGAGCAGCAGGGCCTCAAGGAAGTGGTCTTGGCCGTTGCAAAAGCTCAATCCAAGAAAGTCGATGGATTTGACGATGTCGTTCGGGGAAAAGGCCAAGGATTCATTATGCAGCTTAGCGGTCCTCCGGGGGTCGGAAAGACCTTGACTGCAGAAAGCGTTGCTGAGGTCATGAGGGTTCCTCTTTATGCCATGAGTGCGGGTGATCTTGGAGTTGACGCCAGAGTCTTCGAAGCAAAATTGAAAGACATCTTGAAGCTGATTCCCAAGTGGGGTGCTGTTCTGTTGCTTGACGAGGCTGATGTCTTCATGGAAGCCCGCGATTCAACCAATCTCGATCGCAATGAACTTGTCTCAATCTTCTTGAGAATACTTGAATACTACGAGGTAAGATCCGATGCCTGGAATCATCAAAGCCAAAGGATGCGGGGGAAAATACGTAAAATGACATGTTACTGATCTTCTATGTTTTTCTTCAGGGTATTCTCTTCTTGACCACCAACCGTACACAGAATATCGATCCTGCCTTTGAGTCTCGGATCCACCTCTCCCTCGCTTACAAGGAGCTCGATGCGGAATCCAGGCGCCAGGTTTGGACACAGTTCCTAAGCCGCTCATTGAACATTGAAGCCTTCACGGATGAGCAACTTGACCAGGTGGCCAAGTCCCAATTGAACGGTCGCCAGATTAAGAATGTGATCAAGACAGCCGGCCTTCTGGCTTGGTCTAAGGGGAGTGAGCTTCGATACGAATATCTGAAGGCGGTGCTTGCTCTGAGAGATTTGCAAAAGTGATGACTGGTGAGAGCATGGGGCTTACTGCGTATTCGTATTGAAAATTAAAATTAGCTAGCAACACCCCCACAGACTCGATATCCGAACTCCAAAACAAAAATCCAACTTTATGTCTCTATTTATGCTTGTAATTTCCTTTCCTTCCAGTATGTTGATAAAGTGCCGAGGTGTGTTTTATGCGTATGGCGCTGCACTTGGCGCCGCCGTCAACGGGGTCCGAGTACGACAGGGCTGAGCAGGCAACCAAAAAAAAAAAAAAACACATCAGCCAAGACTTTCACTTCTTCCATCAAGTCATGTTGGTTGATATATCCTTGGCTCCCACACTACTGACAATGCCTCCAGTGTTCCATCCAATGCTTCCGACAGGCCCCGGGGCCCGTTCCCCCCTGAACCACAACTGTCTATAGGGCTAGGGGGCTCTTCGTTTTCGTTCTCGGATACGCAGAATCCCGGTCCACCCCGTTCCATACGACATGGATTATGTTGAACCTGCAATTTGAAGATGTTATGGCCTCTTAAGGCTGAACAAATGATATTCCCCGGAACGCCGATCATCCAAAAAAAAAAAAAAGAAATGTACACGAAACATCAAAACACCCATCATCTCCAGGGCTGAGCAAAGACCTCTTGGCTCAGGTCCACCGTGTGTTGGCTAGTGCACCCGCATGATCCGACAATTTCACAATTATAATCCAATCGAGGTGGCGCCCCCGGGTGCCCCCCATGGCACAACTCCGATAGTATGCTGTTGTGGAGCACGCGAGCAGTAATTTCTTCTCCTTATTCTTCTCGTAATTTCCTTCTTTTTTCCCTCCCCCTTATATTGTGCAGTATATGCGGATTGGAAAACAGTCCGTGTCGAAAGATTTCCTCATGTTGGCCGCTTTTCGCGTTAGGCCATTATGATTGTCACTCGTTTTCATCATCCGCAGCGCTTGATTTTGTCTATTTTGGTACTTTCAGGTATCTGCTCCAAGTTGCTTCACATATACCAACATCGATCTCTTCCTCTATACCTTTTGGCCCTTTATTTCCCAACATTTTTTATTCAGGAGGTTCTTCTATTCATTACAGTATGGATTCTCTTACATACAACTACCGGTCGGTGGTCAGTAGCTGCCGTTATCGGCTCAGCGATTGTCGCGTTGGTTCACCTTTTTCCCTTGGATGCGCCGACCAACGATATTGACTTTTCACCCTCAGATGCATTGATTTATTAGCAACGTCGTCGCAAATTAGTTTCTATTCTCAAACCGGCAGCGAAATTCGATGGGATGCAGCCAGGTCCGTGGGCGCCAGTCGGCAGGGAATGAACTTGATATTGAGCGGTCTGGTGCCGATGGCTGCCGCTACAACAGTGATCGCAGTGGCTTCCTGGCTTATGGCTCAAGGGATCTGGAATCTCATGACCCGCTGGCTATGTGCCCTCGCCAATCTCAGAGACGCCAAGACTTCCGCCGTGTTACCGGGGCCCTCAGATCTGAGAAATTTAGTGTCACATAAACCTCGGCTTTGGACCCTTGTGGGAACCGGAATAACGATCGGACTCTGGATAATCCGGCCATCCGTCCCATACAATCATATGACGGGGGCTCTTCCCTTCACCATGCTCGGCGAACACTCTCGGGCTCGTCGGATGACCATCGAAACTTTCCCGCTGCCTGAATTGCTGGCAGAGGAATATCGGGAACCTGCGAACGGGCACTATAAGGGGTGGGCACCGACGTTGGATGACTCGGGTAACACTGCCTATGGAAATAATAAGCCAGCCTGGGCGCGAGGCCCTCTTCCTGCTGCGTTTGAGAGATGGATTGTGAATCCCGATTCAACTTCAAACACGGACGGAATTAGCTTGGAAATTAGCTTGGAGGCGCCTAACTCGACCGTTCAAAGTGTGTCCAAGAGAGGCGATGACGAATTCGATTCTAAAAACCAGAATAAGACAGCCGAACCGCGACATTATTTCTATAATCCCGTTCAAGATCCTATGAGGATAAGCAACCTTGACCTGGAACCACTTGGTCCTCTGCAGGAAGCTCTGAAGGACCATGCCATCCCGATCAACCACATCGTCTTTGTGTTCCTGGAAAGCGGTAGAAAGGACCTCTTTCCCCTCAAAAACGATTC